TCGGCCAGTCAGCATAATTGTGCTGCTCTAGAGTGATTAGTCACATGGTATTTATGGCTCAAAAATAAAATCTGGCTGCAGAATTGAGCACCCATGTGCAAAGATGGCAGATTTCAAACCACACACTTTCAGGGGTCATGCGCCAGCCAAGCAGCTGACATTAAGACGAACAGGAACGGTAAGGATGGCTTCCTCCAGTTATTATAGTTTGATTTAGATGTGAACTCTTAAAAATAAAGGTTCTTTATTGGCATCAATGTTTCCATGAAGAACCTTTAACATCCATGGAACAGTTTCCATTACACAAAGTGTTCCTTATAGTGTAAAAAGGTTTTTCAAATGAACTTTTTACACTAAGAAAAAAAAAGGTTCTTTTAAGAACTAATCACCTAAAGGTTCTTTGGGGGACCTAAAATTGATCTTCTATGGCACTGCTACGAAAACCAATATTTTGGAACCTTTATTTTTAAGAGTGTGGGTTTAAAATATCGACATTAATGCCAGAAAAGGGTTTCCATTACACAAAGTGTTCCTTATAGTGTAAAAAGGTTTTTCAAATTAACTTTTTACACTAAGAAAAAAAAAGGTTCTTTTAAGAACTAATCACTTAAAGGTTCTTTGGGGGACCTAAAATTGATCTTCTATGGCACTGCTACGAAAACCAATATTTTGGAACCTTTATTTTTAAGAGTGTGGGTTTAAAATCTCGACATTAATGCCAGAAAAGTTTGAAAACGCCTGAAACAGACTAAAACTGAGGTTTGCGCAATACTCAGAATGGTTAAAAAGGCATGGGGCTTCAATGGTGGTGACATTTTGAGGGTTGGGGAACCAAGTACATAGATTATCGAGTTTGGGAATGTGTGGAAAAGACTTTCCTTAGAAACAGTCTTTGGCATCGGCCCATGGATGGAGGTGGGATGAAGAAATGAAGGGAGAGAGGAGAAGAGCAGGTGGCTCTCTACTGGTTCTCAGTAGTCATTCTCATACTGCTCTGGACCTTCACATGCAGGTGTGAGACAGCGATGCCCCGGTAAAAGAGGAGAGAGACACTGCAGTAAGTGTAAGCCCCATATAACCAACATGATGCAACACCTCATCTACCAGACAGTAATCTTTACATAGTGGCATTTCAGAAGGAGAGTCAAGGATTCTCAATAAGGCATTAAAACCTGGTCAATACACATAAAACGTACATTTTCTCATTTGAAATGAAGTATTATCCCAGAGAATGAGGGCTGAATAAGTTACAGAGCAATTTGCAATACTATTAAGCTGTGTTGCAAGATTTTATGCTGACTGAAAGCTTAAAGCTATAACCTTTATAGATCTTAAAAGTGTTGATACAGTATTTCATCTATTCGTCATTTAACAGCCTTACATGGCAGAAACACCGGAGAACATTAGCGTTATATTTTTCACAATACAATACTGCCATAATTTATGAGGCGTCCAGTAGAAAGCTTTGCTATGATCTGATAAATCAATTAAAAGAGTGCTGTCCATTATTGTCCAGCTTTTCTCATATCAAAAAACTGAAATAGTGAAAACTTGTAAGCACACAGCCCACTCTGAAACTTTGATAGCATTTACAGTATACTCCATGAGAAATTTATAAGTAGAATAACAGTTTGGGAAGGGCTAGTTAGACCACAAGCTTGTTTAAAGCAATGGGTTTGCCATTCATTAGCAGTTATAGAAATGCAATCTCAAGCGAGAATGTGCGAAGCACTTCAAAAGGGCGTGGAGAATAACAGTATGGAAGAGCGTGCGGTATGTGCCCTCATCAGTTTGCTGGATGGCGATTATTATCAGTGAAGCCTGAGACAGTCTTAAACCCACAGCTCAATAAGCACTCGTCAGGGACGCTGTTACTAGACTAACTCCATAATTGACTTTCAGATGTTCAGTATCCATGGTTACCTTGACAACTACATGTAGATTTCATTGGGTTTCATTCACTAACTGGGCATACACACCTATCTGTGCATAGAACTTGAATGTTTTCATCGATCTATCTATCTATATGTTTGTCTGTCTGTCTGTATATCACATCCATCCGTCCATCATTTGTATTGTCTCATATCACATTGTAACAAAATGCTGCACATTTCCTTGTGAAATTGAAATATGTTAAATGACAAAACGAATCTGATATTTTAAAACAAATCCCAAATTCAACAGGCTCGGGGTGCATCGTTACATCCCTAATCTAAACTAACCAACCTACCTACCCACTCTTCCTAGTTCTGACAAGTTTCTAGTTAAAATTTCAAGTTACAAATTACAGTTAGATGAATTTAAATACATTTTGACAGTACTTAATATTCTAATTCAAATGGCAATTCTACTTTCTGTTTGCTACCTCAATTAACATTCAGGAAGTGGAGTGGATGGTTGATTTGGCTAGAGCTGTTTTTATATCAGTGTGTCAATGCTTGTGGACATATATTATTCTAATTACTGCTCTGTCATTTACAATAATCGGCATTCATCAACATAAGAACAAATATGTGCATATGTCATAAATCTGGTGGAAATTTCACCAGAGAACCTTTTCTTGACACATACTGCAAGATCACTTCTACACAATCATTAGTGAATGAGATACCCCCTGGATGTACCTGATAGAATAAAGTTTGAATGAAATTGAGAAACCTTGACAGATAGAGGGAGTATGGGAGAGAGAGGAAGAGAAAGAGAGGATTACCTCCAACGTTGTATCTGAGGCAGGAGTTCTGGTCGCAGTAGCCGGGGGATCCTGCAGGACCAGGGCTACCAGGGATACCTGGACGTCCTGAGGTGCCTTGAATTCCAGGTCTCCCTGGAGGGCCCTGACTTCCTGTCCGACCTTCTCCAGGAGACCCTGAGTGAGACAAGACATTAGCCATTAATATCTGCCTCGTGAAACCCCGCTGAACTCCCCACTCATAGCCTGCCTGGATTCCTTAACCCACAAAATACAAGTTTTAGCCTTTTCCAGTGCACATCACTGGCTGTTACAGCTATGTTGCTTCAATGAATCTCATTTGTAAAGAGTATTGATCAAAGCACAATTAACAGTGAGCCAACGCTGACATTTTTCAAAGTCTACTGACCAGCCTTTACTGCTAAAATCGATATGAAAACATTGCTCCTTGACCCAAATATTGTTTCAATATCTGCTTGATATTCTAGACAGGATTTAAAAGAACCAAAAGCAGATCAAGATGTGTGCAGAGGTTATTAAAAGTTTGCAAGCTTGTGTTTTCTTTGACAGACGCCATTTAATAATAGAAACTCCTGTAGTCTGTGCAATAAGACGACACTGAGCTCTACTTTTTCCAATTTGAATTGAAATGAATTTTTTACTGCTGGCTTGAGGACCAAGAAGTCATTGATTTTGACTTAAATGTAACATTTGAACAGTCTCTCACCTGGAGGCCCTGGAGGACCACGAGGACCTTGTGTCCCTATCCCTGGACTGCCCTTCTCTCCTCTTTCTCCTGGGAGACCTGGACAAAGAGACGGGGATCTGTTAGAACACACAAACCCATCTGAAGAAGCTGTGTCCTTCTCTTTCCATGTGATTTAACTTATTTCACACCTTTACGAGACCATAAGGGAAGAAATAAAAGACCTGGATGGTGTTAATAACGCATTCTGACAGGTCTGATGTGGCTGATCTCTCAGTAAGAAAGCAGTAGGAGCTACAGCAGAAGGGAATAACTTATTTAAGTGAATGACAACTTAAATCACAATTGTTTTCTCACACAAATCTATCAGAATCTATCAACAGTCTCTTTCTTTCTTTAAGAAGTCAACATTGGAATTGAAAACAGTCAGTGAGTGGTCAACATGCCAATTGATCCAATTAATCTCTACTGGTAAATGCTGTAACTATACTAAAAAGCACCTTGAAATGAATGGGAATAATAAGATTTCCTTGAATCATGGTTCATTTGTCCAAAGTGTTGTCTCTAAGGATTTGAACACTGAATGTAAGCAGCCTTTTGCCCGACAGGCACTCTGATCTTCATCACCTCTGAACAACACTGACAATCAAAAAGAGAACTTCTGAATAAGATTCCTCTTTATAGGCCCCATGTTAACATAAACAGACAAATATCTCCCCTACGTTATCCCTCATTAGCAGCTCTGTTTTGCACTGACTGCATCATGACCATGCCCTGCATGTTCCTGCTTAATATCTGAATGTTTGAGTGATGCAGTAGTGATGGTGAAATATCTAATCCTGAAAGCTCAGGCTGTCTGTCAGAGCTCATCTAATTGAGGACAGGAGACTAAGCAGTGTGGACACTCACTCATGATAAAGACTCTGGCTGAGAGTTGCTCTTGGCAGGAAGTTCATGCAGATCTAATGTAATTTGTGTACAGTTGTGTTCAAGGGAAAGAAAGTTCCAGATTTTTTTTTTTTTGGTCACACTGAAAAAAGCCAAATGTATTAGTTTTTTCGAATTATATTTATGGTTTGGTTCAAACCTTGATTTAATATTTATCGAAAATATTTATTTTCTAAGTAAAAGGATTGTTTTTTATAATGGCCATACATTACTTAATGAATACATTTTCTTTAGACATAAGCCAAAATGTGTAATGCAGGTCAGTATAATAATTTTAGGGGTTTTTACAACTTTATTTTACCATAAACAAAGGCTAAATTAGCTATAGAATGAAAGTATAATTTTCACTTAAGATAAAAAAAAATGTTATTCAATGTTTAATATAATCATATTTGCTGTATTGTTCTTAAAAGAATAAACAATAAAACTCAAACTGTTCTGCACATCAACACTGGTATAAAGGGAAAATTTAAACAAAGCTGTTTCTTTTATTTATTTTTCTATGGGAAGAATGTTTTTTTAGACAAAAATAAAGACAGAGCTTTTAGACAAACTGGTCATTTCACTTTTTCAGTGCAGTTTGTGGGACTTGTGGATGCTTAAGAGGCTGTCAACCTCAATTCAACTAATACATACTAAAGAGACTAAAGCATTTGCAGTGCTTTGTGGCATCTTTGAAGTAGTTGTTCTTGGCTTACTAACATTAACCATAAAAAAGACTTAGTAGTTCACTTATTGTTTATGATGACGAGTGGTATTGAGGTTAACCAGGGCTGTCAGCCAAGATGTTAGCAACATTTATCATGGATGGGGTCAGAGAGGTCATGCTAATGTTCAATATTATTATAGCTACAAGATCTGCGAAACCTTAAGCTGCAGGGGCAAAATTTATCTTGAGGGCCATTAACTAATCATCCTCCATACTATTCATACTAGACTATTATTTGCATCTATTTACTAGACTATATTATTATATACAATTATTTGCAAGGGTTTGTAAACTCAGCTACTATTTTTTACAAATTAATCTTCAAAACGTTATCAGTTTTTTCCTTTAACAATTTCATGCCTAAAAAAAAAATTAAAACAGCAGTACACAGTATCTAATGATGCAGTAGGTTATTTCACAAGTAAAAATGTTTACCTCTCTCTCCTGGGCGGCCATTTTGCCCACTGGCTCCAGGGAATCCTGGTCTGCCAGCAGGACCCTGCTCTCCCTGTGGCCCCGGAGGTCCTGACCGACCAGGCTCACCCGGTGGACCTGGTACTGTTCGTACTGAAACAGACTGACTGGGAATCTGGTTCAAAATAGAGTTGTAGCGAGACAAGTGACCTGAGGGGGAGGTAGAAAAAAAGAAATTCACTTAGCGGGTCAGCAGGGGTTAGATGACTTTGTGCGAGTCATGAATTTGGCAAAAGAGCGTCAAATCAAATACTTGTTAAAATAGTACATGTACGCAAAATATATGTATTCTCAACTCACTCTGAATTAGCTGTTCACAAACTTGTCGTGCTATGGCACGGACAGCGGCCTGAGACTGCATGTCACCCTTCAGAAACAAACAACAGGGGATTAAGGCAGGGATGTACAGCGTCACAGTTTTCTGTCATTGTAAGTTAAATATTATAATCATTTTAACCTACTGGCACTGTGCGAAAGTTATGCACTAGGAGAGCTACAACAAAGAAACTGTACTGTACGATGAGTCTGAATCGCCAGATCTTACGAACTTGAACTTGTACAGTATGATGTATTCTGTTTCCTCTATGATGGGCACGTAAAAAGAGAGAGCTGCAAAAACTGAGACGATCAATAAAAAGGCAAGATATTTAGTTTGCTCTCAAAGTCTGGACAGTTTCCTGAGGATGAGCTTTAGGGTGGTGCATTCTGACTCAGAAATACTGGATTTAGAGTGTTTTTGATTTTTTTAATGCCAAAAGAATGTGTTCTTTCAATAGGTCATTCAGATTAGTGTGGTTGGATTGGTACATTCCATTGAATATGTTAATAAAATTATATTATAAGACATATATATATATATAGATTTGCATTCTGATTTAGCTTTGTAAAGTAATAAGTTTGTAGTAATAAGTCATTATATATACATTTCTATGGATATAACGTTAGCTGCTGTACTTATAAAAAACAAACAAACAGGTGGACAAACATGGTCGGTATCACTCTCAGCATGATCACAGACCATCTAATGCAAATTGGACACAACATGCAAAGAACTGGAGAAAATCGACAGTTCCATTGTGATTTTGCCTGATTTTTTTTCTGCTACACAAATTATAAGAGTCAGTTTTTCATTAGTCTGCCAAAAACAACAACAACAACAAATGCTGCAACAATGAAAGCTTCTGAGGAAAAACTAGAGTAGTCTCAAACTTTGGATTTTACATTTACTTTAAACACAACTACTTTGTTACATGCCATACTATAGGAAATAATAAATAAATAAGTACATAAATCTATTTTGACCACACTCTGTGTCCATTCTGTGTGCTAGTGAATTGTCCAACCCACTAGCACATGTGTTAACACCTAAAAAGCAAGCATACAGCATGGATTAAGACCACAAGCTGCTGTGACAAAAAATCTCCAACAACACACAAATACGCTTCAGCTGCTTTAAAGGTAGGCTAATAGCCTGTACAACGTGGGTGTTTAATTCACCCAATTTAACACTCTCCACACACCCTTTGTGTGGTGGCCGGTACCACGGCAGTGGAGAAATCAGAACTGAAGAATAAAAACACAAATATATTGTTGTGTGGAAGCTCTGGACCGAGTCTGACTGTGAGGCTTGATAAACAGCTTTAGCTATACCTGTAACACTTTTAATGCTCCTGCAGCGACTGAATTAAAAACCCTAAGCATTTAGAGAGAGAGCGTGAAAAAGAAAAAGGAGCTATAATTCAGCGCTGCTGATGCTGCTGTGATTTTTATTAAGAGGCCTGTCAGCAAGCCTCTTAATCCTGCCACCGATAAACCGCCATTGTGTCCGCCACTCGAGTGCCACATGCCACCACCCCAATTGTAAACTCTATGACAGTTCAGATGCAGATTTGAGACTCACTCTCTCTCCTCGTTCGCCTTTGGTGCCGGGAGGCCCCTGCAAAAAGAGAAAAAGAGAGTGAAGGCAAACGTTTCTGAATTCACCGATTGGAGGAAAAAAAAGACAAAAAAGAAACACAAAGACATTAATGACTGTTTGGAGAGGGGGATTTGAATGCGAGAGCGGACCAAATCGATCACGGATGAAATGCATGAGCCAAATACATAAAATGGATGCGTCGCTGACCTAATGTGTTGGAAACCAGGCCGGGATTTGTGGCCAGAGCACCATGGCTGCTAAACAATTCTGATATCATAACATCTGGGTAAAAATGAGATGTAACCCTGAAACGGACTCATTGGAAGCTCTGTGGTGCATAGGGACTCATCCTAAGGATATGTGGTTGTTGTGCCAGACTATGTGAGAATATGATCATAGTTTATTTAAAGTACTGCGTGTAATTTCACACATCGGAGCAGGAGGTTATGGCTCTATATCTATACTGTAGTAGAATTAACAATGCCCTGCTCTTCCATAAACTGGGCCACAATTGGTCATAAACTTGTCATCTTACTGACAATCTCTCTTCCAGGGCTTATAAAAAGAAAGACGTACAGGTTTCAAATCTGTGTTGAGAGGTTACACTGCAATCGAGCTCTGCAGATGTTTTTCAATGACTGCACTGAAGCATATGGTTCCACTTTACAAATCTTTGTGAACAAATGCAAGGTAATAGAGCTCCAACTTAAATATAGGTGTCACTCAGCAGGAAACTCATAGAGACTGACGTTAATTCAGAATCCCTTGTGTGCTTCTAATATACAAATGAGAAACAAATATTTCAGTTACAGGCTTTGTGCAAACTGAGGTTTCTCAGTTTGTAGCTCTCTCTCTGACCGGTCGGACTTATATAAGGTAGATCTTTGCAGGCTGAAACTGAGCTACAGTGAGCTTGAGCACAACAGTTTGTATGATATATAGAATCTCATGTGGAGCTGTCTGCTCCAGCATTCATAAATGATTTCAAGCCATGAATAAAGTGACTCTTCATGATAAATACTGTAAGTGGATTTCTAGCTTCTACACATGTGGACCTTCAAAGCAAAATTCTCCCCGCTGAATAGATCAGGCAAGTTAGTGCAGGTTTGGTGTTACTCTAGCTCGAGGGTGTCCAGTCCTGCTCCTGGACAGCCACTATCCTGCAGAGTTTATCTCAAACACACCTGAACCAGCCAATCTAGAAACTTCCAGGCAAGTGTGTTGGAGCGGGTTTGAGCTAAACTCAGCAGGACATTGGTCCTTCAGGAGCAGGATTGGACACCTCTGGTCTGGCTGGAGGACCATTATAATCATTCTGTTTACCAGCAAAACCTGGTTGGCCAACGAAGATGGTCTATCTGGCAAATATGTTTGACTAACGCAAAGCTCAACAGTAAGGATTTTTTCTGCTGGAACTGCAGCAATGGTGAAAGTTGTAAAGCAGTCCAAAACCCTGGCTTTTGCCCTGGACCAGCGGGCCGTCCTTATTGTTGAGCCCTGCCAAGGTAGGCTTGTTGGTTTATCTAGCTGAGAAGCCTAATGTGAACACCTGCACACCACCACCAAAACATGGTGGTGACCAACTATGCTGGTCTTATGATGCGATTTCAAATAATGATCTTTAAAAAAGCATCATATGACCCCTTTAAGTATATTGATCAAGTATATTCTATATCTGTTGAGAAGGGAACCAAAGGACCAATTTGCTTGACTTCAAAACATTTCTTAAGTCTGGTCTGGTTCTGGGTGGTCTGGTACTTCAGTGAGAATAATGCTAGAGTCTGACACTAAAGAGAATGGCTCAGCAGTAGGACAGAATTCAATGTTCCTTCAACTAAACAAGAATGCCACAAAACCACATTTATAGAACTGAGCCAAACACTTTACCTCTCGCTTAAATAGAGGAGCACAGACTTAAATATCAGTAAGCTGATGTCACGATCAGCAGTCTACAGCATTTTGAGTTTAGTTTGTTCAACATGGCTGTAATGCAATACTCACAGGTGGCCCCTGATCACCAATTTGCCCTGGCGATCCACTTGGTCCTGGAGCCCCAGGAGCTCCAGGGCTTCCCTAAAATGAGATATTGAGAGGACAAAAGGTTCATGACCAAGTCTCAGAAAGACTCACAGAGTGATTTTATCGTGTTACATACCATTGGTCCTGGAGGACCCTGTCGTCCCTGGGGTCCATCTTTACCCAGTAGGCCCTAAAACGAACGAATTTTTGATAATCACAATGCTTTGTTTAAAATAAAAAACTGTGGTATATTAATATCTTAATAATCTTCTTTTAGCACAGTGTATAAATCGTAAAATGCAGAAGTCCCAATTCTCATAAGGGAATCTAAGAAACAGTAAGCAGAAATAAAGATAACACATTTTGACTCCATCAATGCTTCCTGTACAGCTTTTCTTCAGCAAAATAAATCATAATCCAAGTTGTTAATGTGAGTTTGTATTGTGTGAGTCTAGTCTGATTCACAAACAAATGACTCAAATGACTGAAACACTCCAACAATTTACCAGTTTGAATCAGCCTGATGAAACTCACAGAATCTATCAGTGACTCAATAAATGAACAGCATGTGTTCAACTCTGGCTGACCTCTGTACACTGGCAGCATGAACCTCTCTGGGAACAGTTCAACAGCCAACGATTCCAATGCAAAAGACCAGATCCACAAACGCTAACAGCAAAGTAACAGAACAGGTGGTCATGTGTTCTAACTCTACTGCCATGTGGTAGAACGAATTCCTCTTGAACATCCTTTCCACTACTGTTTTATTGTTGAATGCTGGGATACACCTAAAGTACCTCAGTAGGGGATAGAGACTCAACAACAACTTTACTGTCAGATCTGTCTGCACAAATTATATAATACGGTTCTGGCTGCTTCCTTTTAGCCAGTGATCCAACTCTGTGTTCTTCCACTGAACATGCCTCATTGCCCTAAATATCAGGCTCTTTTGGGAAACAGGCCAGTGGAGGGAAGGGAAATCAATGTAACATTTAAACGCCTCAAGCGTAACATACATTTGGAGTACCACACTTCAAGAGCATAAAGCCTCAGAATAGTTCTAGTCCACGCAACATATGCAATTCCATACAAGTGCTTGAGGTCACAAAAGTTTTTCTCTCTCGCTATGTGTGTTTTGAGGTGGATAAGAACCTCCCTCAAGAAGGAGTCATGGTGAAGCACACTATAAACACCTCTTTGCTTTGTCCAATCCAGCCCACTTTGAACCTGGTGTCAATCTAGAAATTTTGCCTCTTTGTGCTCACCATGCTTTGTTCAATTGTTCCAGTGTCTCCACGAAGTCCGTTTGTAGGTGAAAATCACGATAGTATTGAATACTTTCTTTAGCACTTCATTTTGTGCCACTTACAGATAAAACAACCCATTAGCTAACCTTGGAACTGTAATAATATTCTTTTACAAATGGTATTTTTAGAGATTATCATAAGTTCAAAGCCAAACATCTGCTTTCTTTTTTAAACTGTTATAGTGAGTTACTGTGTATGAAACCACAGCAGATTTATCCCTCAACCTGCTTTAAATCAGCTCAGCAAGCAGCAGTGTGGTCTGAACACCAGCATTTGTGCTCCTTGTTTTTCTTTTCTGACGCAAACTGACAGATTTATTCAAACATTTCCACTCAGGCTGCTCTTTACTAAACAGAGATGGTAAAAAAATATGACTATCAACTAATAAATAAAATGAAAAATTACACTGAAAAAACCCCAGCATAATTTACATGGTAAAAGATTTTCAAAATCTTACTGTAAAAACGTGTTAATTTGTTACTGATGAGTAACAGTTTTTGGAAGCAAAAAATAAGTCATCTTATAATTTATAGTGAAAAATTGACATTCCCAGAATTCTCTGTGACAACTCATATCTGATGTTTTTTTTTATCGAAACAACTGTTTTTTTTCCCCCTTGGATTTTTCTTATCAGTTATGTGCATAACTACGTAGGGTTTTAGGTTTCATCTTATGTTGTGAAATTAATGTTTATTGCATTTTTAGTGTTAGCGTTTAGTGTTAATTTTAGTATTGATGGTGGTGATGGTGTTTTGCATTTGTATTTGTGCACCTTCTATAAAACAATTTTAAAAACTGATTAACAACCCTGAATATTACATGAAGTCATTTGTAATGGTAACTTCCTCAGCTTATCTGATTTATTCACATCATAACAAAATAACAATTTAGTGTGAATCGAGTTACGAAAAATGCTTACTCTCTGTCCTGGAGGTCCATCTCGGCCTGGTCCTCCACTGGCACCTGGTACACCCTGAAAGTAAATAAACAAGACAACTTGTTTATTTCAATGATAGACATAGCTGTTCACAAAATGTGTGGCCTTTGCCGAGTAATAAATGTTTGGCTCTTTTGTTTCACATTGTCGTCTGCATACACAGAACGTCTTCAATTCTTACCGGCTACGATACTGACATTATCTAAGTGTCAATCTCAAGGCTGAGGAGGTAATCGAAAGTGAGGACAGTTTGTGTGGTCTGAGTCATTGTGATTTGAAGAGCTGCTCTGCTATGATATCTTACATAAAAGAACATAAACTGTAGGCTAGTCCTTCAAGATTTGTGCAGGCAACCGAACAACTGTGGGCTCTCTTGTAGAACAGTGTTTTGTCCCCGGAATGAAAATTAATTCCAGTTTATTGACTTAATTGTATGGAACCCATTGACTTTCATTGTATGGGTGAAAAAAAAATCTTTTGTGTTCCACAAAAATAACAATGTCATACAGGTTTGGAATGACATAATGGTGAGTAGAATTGCATTTTGGGTGAGCCATCCTTTAATTCCCAAGAAACACCAGGACTAATGTCTACCACTGACGTCACTGCCTCGACCTCAGCGATTAGCATTTTTCACTTCTAATTTGCATAAAGTTGAGCATTTCTCCACTTTTTATGGCTGTCACCACTTGCATTGCTCTTTTAACAAACCCACAATCCCCTGCACAAACCTGCCGCTCAGCTTCTATAGAGCATGAACTGAAAATGCCTGCTCATCTCCAGGTGGACACATACATATGTGTTAATTTTGATGAAATCGCCTTCCTCTTCATAATGATACAATACTTCATAGCTTCAGCTACAGTTTTACAAATCAAAAAGTTCAATTCAACAATTCAACATCACCCCATATATCAGCACCACACACACACTAAAATGGGCTTCGTTTCATCACAAGTGGACTCGTAATTCTGAAACTGTGTGTGAGGGCACCCTTAACAGTATTATATACAGGGCTCTCAGTGCCAGCGGCAGAGACAGGCCGAGGAAGAACACATGATATGGAGGACTGGCAACCAGCAGCCAATGAATATAATTCACAGGCTGACAGGATAGATTAGCCCTGAAAGAGAACTACGGGTGTCTCTGCCGCAGTACGGCAAAGACCACTTCCTCCTTACTGCCAACATAACTCTGAAAGAACTCAATACCTGCTGCTAATAGAAAGAGAGTGTGCGGATGGCCCCTCTGCTTAAAGGAGGATATCCATCTCAAGCCAAGACATCTATACTGGAAGACTGAGGCACGTATGTGTGTGTGTGTGTGTGTGTGTGTGTGTGTGTGTGTGTTTGTACTTTGACCACTGGAAAAGCCAGGATGTTCTTTTCGTCACCCTGGAGAACTCTAGGGGATTTTTCCTGAGTGGTTGTCATTGGCTTCAGATCAAACAGCTATTCCTCAACAAATAGAACTGTCACTGTGAATGTTTTAGAAGCCTTTTGGTGACACTTTCAGCAGAAATCTAAAAAGATTCACAGAAAAGGCAGAACTTTAACAAGCTTGTGAAAGAGGCTTTAGAAGCATAAAAGTCTAAGACATCTGCTTGAGGCAAAACTATGAATTCCATCCTGCCTGCTTAGAAGTGTCTTTTGAGTTTGGGCAATTAGATTCTCCCTCAAATAAGATCTTCAAATGACAATTTTCATGTCAAAATGCTTTATTGTCATTAGGCAGTGGCGTGTGGTGGACTGAAATGAGTAGGAAGAGTTGCTTGTCTGGGTTTGGTTTCCCAATGTACACTTCCTTTCAAATGTTTCCGGGTCGGTAAGATTTTTTATTTTTTTGTCATGCTTTTAAAAGAAGTCTCTCGTGTTCACCAAGACTCCAGTTTTTTTTTATCAATAATAGAGTAAAAAAAACTATAACACTATAACAATATTATGTTCAATTTAGAAATCATTCTAATATGCTGAAATGGTGCTCAAGAAACATTTCTTATTATTATAGTGTTGAAATCAGTGGTTCTACTTAATATTTTTGTTTTCTTTTTTAAGATTCTTTGATGAATAGAATGTTTAGCAAAAGAGCAGTTGTCTTTTGTGACATTCCACTCTCGCCTAGCCTCATTTGATCTGACACAGCTTACCACTACAGGTACTCACAAATCAGGCAACCGACTCGACCTCATTTACACATGCAACTGTATCACAGAAAACATTTTAGTGAAACCTCTGCACATTTCTGATAATTTCTTCATTACTTTTGATGCAGAGAGAAAATGGCACAAATAAAAAGATCCAGTTGACCTGAGTATGTATCAGTCTCTGCTTTCATCTTTTTCTGTCAAGGTCCACACTGCCAGAACTTCATATTTTCACAAGATCAACAACCACACGCAAACTTCAAATAATTCAAACATCAAAACGATCTCATCTGCCCCCTTACACCACCTCTTTAACAGCTGATCGTTTAGCCAATTTCTTCAAACACAAAACTACAACCATCAGCAGTAAGTATTCAGCTCCACATACACCGGAACTCAGACCAACAACAACTACAGCCAGCAGTTTCTGAACTTCTCCTCTCCATCCTACAGCATGCCCCCTAGATCCCATTCCCTCACACCTTCTACAAGCTATTTCCCCTACACTTCTACCAGCACTCACACATTTCATCAACACATGTCTCCACACAGGCATTTTCCCCACCACATTCAAGCAGGCTCGGGTAACCCCGCTGATTAAAAACTTACACTAAACATTTTACTTGTAGAAAGTTACAGACCTGTCTCTCTCCTCCAATTCATAGTGAAAACACATAAACAGGTTGTTTTCAACCAGGTATAATATTTCCTTCCACAGAATAACTAGCTGGACAAGAACCAATCAGGTTTCAAAAGTGGTCATTCAACTGAGCCTGCATTACTGTTGGTTACTGAAGCTCTGCAGATTGCAAAAGTTCTCATTCTGATGGATATATCTGCTGCTTTTGACACCGTCAATCATCAGATCCTTCTGCACACCCTCTCATCACTGGACATCACAGAAATTCCACTTCTCTGGTTTGAATACTATATCTCACAGGTAGGTCTTTCAGGGTTGCCTGGAGGGGGGTTCCTCGGGTCAGTCCTCTAGGATCAGTTCTTGGACCTCTCCTCTTCTTCATTTAAACAACAGCACTGGGACCGATCATACAGGCACATGGATTTTCCTACCATTGCTATGCTGATGACACACAGCTTTATTTTTCATTTCAACCAAATGATCCAACAGTAGCTGCACAGATCTCACACTGCCTGGTGGACATCTTGGCATGGGTGAGAGAACATCACCTCCAGCTCAACTTAGCAAAGACAGAGCTTCTCGTCTTCCCAGTCACTCCAACTGTACAGTATAATTTCACCATCCAGCTATGTTCATCAAAAATTATACCATCAAGATCAGTCAGAAATCTTGGGGTAAACTTTGATGACTAGCCAAAGTCAAGACACTGATGCCTGCATATAGAATAGCCATGGGCTCCGCACACTCTTACTTCCACTTGCTCTTACAAGTCTACATCCCCTCCAGAAGCGGGAGGTCGGTAAGTGTGTGACGCCTCGTGGTAACATTGCATTGCATTGTGCTCGCATTTCTTTTTTTACTTTCGCTTTCAAATTCAGTAACTCTTTTGGGGGGGAGGGGGGGTATGGCCCAAGAATGCCCCCCTTGGCACCGGCCCTGTAACCATAATGTAGGCAGAGGTATGTTGGCAGAGATTCTTGTTAAAAAAAAACTTGAATTTAGCAAAAAATGTAAACTTGGTTAGTGCTAAGAAAGTTATCTGTGTATGTATTAATCTATTTATATTAAACTATTTTCTTACATTCAGGATAAGATGCACATACAGACACACACAGACATACATGAACGACTTTCACAAGCTACACACACAGACACTCACGGGACAGTGATAATTCTAACTCTCACGGAGGGATGAGGTTAACAAATGAGAGACTGTGTGGGTGTTATGAAGCTGTCATGAGTGCTGATGAGACAAGCAGGTGATATATTTCCCCGTACCTGAGGACCTGGCAGACCAATTTCACCCTTCTCTCCTTTCTCTCCTGGAGCCCCCTGAGGAGAGAGGAATTGGAAAAAGAAAAAGGCAAAATTAATAAAAAAAGAATGAAACAAACTATGCATAACAATCCCAGTAGCCAGTATTTCGCTTACCGGTGACCCCTGAATGGACAGTCCATTCGGCCCCTGAGGACCCGGTGGTCCCTGCGGTCCTGGAGATCCAATCTCACCAGGTGGCCCTTGAGGCCCCTTGAACATAAAGTTAGGACATTATCTTAATAAATGTAACCCCATTATAAAATCATCATGGTTTCATTGCCGGGTTTAATTTCCTCAATATAATTACGTAACATTTTAGGCCTACCACCAGCCGGGCTGCTGAAACAAAGTGTGAATGCCCGGCAGTCTCCTTCTCCATCAGGAATGCAATAATCAAGGAAGCAAAAGACACGCGTCACAGTCTAGCTTGTGACAAACCTCTTAGTGGCGGTCATTTGGACCAAGTTTACATAAAACTTTGGAGCGTGAAATGAAATTATGTCTACCCCATCATGGCTTTATTTGGACTGGAGCATGATATATTCTGTACATGGACACACACACATCTAGAAGGACTTTACTCTACAGGAAACTACAGTTGGACAGAGATAAACAAAGCGAGCTCTCAGAAAAAACAGAGCGAGGGTGAGATTTACTAAAAAACTACATGGAGGCACATGCATTGTATGTATTTATAGATTCCCACATTTTGAGCTCTTGTCCAGTGTCTATTCTTTCGGGATATAATGACAACCCTGAGTGGCCCTGCATTTGGGATACATAAAGCATATGTGTACTTTACCGTCAAGCCTGGCTCCCCCCGATCTCCTCTTGAACCTCTGATACCAGGACCGCCCTGAGAGTCAGACCCACACAATTAGATAAACACAAATTGAAAGACTAAGGATAAGCAAATACGTTTTCCTAGTGACCAGAGCTGGGGCATGTGTCAAGAAAGAAATTTTAAACACTTTCGCTAACTCTGTTTCAAAGCATACTGAGCTGATTCAGAATTCGGATTCAGAACACTCTACGTAGCTGCACCACAAATGAGACTCAAAAATGAATATACATTTTTCTAGTCACACCAAAATATTTCATCAAGCAGAAATTGGCAATAAAATATTTTTAAATACTTAAAATGAATTCTTATTCAGAAAATCACAAACAACTGGAAAGGTCATGGGGCCTTCAAAAATTGTTGTGGAAATGGGGGCCTTCAAAAAGGTTGAGAACCACTGCTCTTACAAAAGTACATATACAGAAATAATTTTAAATGAAATACACATTGTGGAAAGATAATTTCACTGAGTTTGTCACTTTGAAGAAAGTCAAATGTGGCTAAAACAGCCCTTTGACTTTTATCGCAAGGACAAAAAAAAATCTAAAGAAAGTAAATGACATAAGTGAATGATATTTGGCTGAGTGATGAAATAATTTTAATTAATGCATTTAATTTGTCTTTTGGAACAGCCTTCATGTTTGAACGCCTATGATTTCTGAAAATATTTCCTATGTGGGCAGCTCACTAGATTTTGGAACATGGCTACTGTTCATTGGTAAAACCAAACCATTTTCCTTATCAAAGTGTTTCAAACACTGCAAAATTGGCTAGTTCAAAAATATCAGATGGAATCTGCCTGCAGTTCAGTAGAGAGTATCCTTGACCTGGTTCAAACCATATCCCGCCTGCTTCTGACCCTCATAAACTCTTGCCCCCACTGCTGCAGGCAACTGCTAGTAATTTAACCCTGTTTCCTTTTCCTGTGTTTCCTTTAATTGCATCCTCAATGGCCATGGCTGCAATAAGGTAGTTCTTATCACTGAAGGCTACGGGCAAATTTGATTCATGAGCTTGTTCAAAACACACTTAACAAAACCTGCTGGTGACGGTGGAAGCAGAGAATACGCAAGCATAAATATTAATTTGAAAGATGCATGTGATGACTTGACAGGACATTTTCGATTCATTTGAGCAGCCGGTGTAATCATAGGAAAGACTTAAGAACACATGTCAGTAATATTAATATGAAGATGCAGCAATAATATATACAAAACTGAAATGCAATCGTTTTCCTTGCAACCACTTCTTGGTCATTGAAATGGGTTTGTATGGATGAAGGAATCTATAAACGCAGACAGGACAGGAGTGGACTAATCGGTTTTGATAAATCGATCTCCTCATAATGACTTTCTCGAAAGAGCTGCTGTTTATACACCATGGCCTTTTCGAGGCCTCAGAAATACATTTTCCCTCAGGGTGCATACGATGCTGCCTTCCAAATGAGCTCATTTATTTGTTCCCGCCATATTGAGTTCAACCTGCAGCATGGGCTGAATTGAGCAATCTAATGCTAGGTCTTTTTCTCAATCTCTTAAGCAGTCTCCCCGTTTCATTTTAATATCTTCATGCTCCATCTTAACACGTTCTGTGTTTTTTCTCTACAGAGAGGTGGTATGGTTAAGGCTTGAGACTAAAAACTGAAAAGTTGCTGGTTCCACAAAGATCCATTACTGTTCTGCCTTTTGAGAAAGACACCCAAACCTGGGATACTACTGGAGAATAATCATGATCATGTGGTCATATGAAAGTCACAAATCCCAACAGTCTTTGTCGCACTGCACTAAATATACAGATGCTTTCTCAAACGTCTATGTATTACACAGAGTCCTAAGCTAGCTTTTATGTTAGAGTACAAGAGTGAATTTGCCAGCTAAAGTATGTCAGCTAGCTTTCATGCTAGAGTATAGTATAATCTTGGTGGTTTTTACAACCAGAGCCTGCGCAATGTTGTGGCATCTTGGAAAACTCATTGATTTTTACTGTGACATACATCTTGATGTTCCAAGATGGCAGATGCATCAACATCTTTTATGTGTCGGCTATCTTTTATTCTATGTAGAGTATGAAAGTGAGTTTATCAGTAAAAGCATGTAAATGAACTAATGCTAAGGTATGATAGCAAGTATGTCAACTAAAATATGTCAGCTAACGCAAATACTAAAGTATGAGAGCAGGTTTCTCAGCTAAAGTATGTCAGCTGGCTTTAATGTTAAAGCATGATAGCGAGTTTATCAGCTAAAGTGTGTTAGCTACAGTGGTTTTTATGCAGGGGTATGAAAGTGACTTTGTCAGTGTAACCCCCCTTTCTTAACTCAAAACTGTTATTTCGTCCTGTAAATCATATTTTTGCACATAAAATAACAAGAGCTGTCACCTCACCTGTAACTGTCAGCTAGTTAGTTAAACTGATTATGTTACAACCCTATTTTACGAATCTCCCTGCAGTTTCGCCTTCTGTGATGTAGTTAGGTACCACCGTTCTAAGGTTGGGTGTTAGTGAGAGGTGAAACCAGTGGTTTTACCGGGGGTCCTGAGGGTCCAGGTGGTCCTTTGCTATCCTGAGCACAGGTGCAGGCATGGGGCATGGCAGGGCAGTCCTCTTCTACTCTCTTGAGGAAAGCACAAACAAAACAACATGTCATACACTATTTCAAACAGCAGACTATTTCCTCTCTAGGAATCTAACAGAACTTTATTTTTTTTCCAAGTCAACCAAGGGTGTCTGTGCAATTCCCTCAAGTCATTAATTCGCAAGTGCACAAACACAGCAAGCGATCTGGAGATATTGTTCTTCCTATCCATGGAGGACCAAGTCTATTTGTCTGCTACAAGACTACATAATTGAATTATTTGTAGAGTGGTCATGGATCTTTAAAGTTAGGGACGATTGCCAGAATGGCCAGTTGGAGATCACTTAGCATTTTTTTCAGCATTATATACAGTAAGTAGCCAAAATGATACAAGAGAACAAAGAGTAATATCGCTAACGCATCCGATGTACTGAATGACCAATCCAACAAGCCTACCGGCAGTACATAAAACCATAAAACCATCCATCACAGCAGAGAACCTTAATAAATAGTGATAGCCAATTACAAGGCTGCTTATGGTCATTTTATTAGCTTTATGTTTTACATGAGTGACTTGTTTTTGACTTAGCGTTTCAATTTTATTTACATTATTGACTTTTTTATTTTTTGCATATACAATGAATTAGTGGTCGACCTATATGGGTTTTTTGACAGCCGATACCGATGCCGATATCTTGGAAAGCAGGGTGGCCGATGGTCAATATAATTTTATTTATTTTGATTCATATTTAAGAAATTTGAAATCATTTGAAAATGAATTAAAAGAATAAATGTGTAAAATAAACATACTTATTCTCTAGAAGACAAAGTATTTTTCACAAATAAATACATATTTAATAAAAATATAATTAAAAAGGAAGAAAACACTGTAAATCTCGCCTCGAACACATCAGCCAAACAGAGAAAAATATCGGCCGATATTTGAAAAATCGGCAGATATATTGGCCTTGCCGATATATCGGTCGACCACTACAATGAATGTTATTTAACTGTTTTATGGAGTCTTTACTCATTTCCAAGTCACTGAAATGCTAAGAATAACATTGCTGAAAATAATAAACACCCGTTGCACAATGAGCTGCTATTTTGACATTTTGACAGTGTTTTTTCCATTACACAGTAATTTGCAGGGACAGCCAGAAGTTGTAACATTTAAATTGATAACTTCATATTTACATATGCCACACCAATATTTTTGGTAGTTCAAGTAGAGTGGTATTTTAACATTATGTCTTAATCAAATATATGGTTAAGCTTATAAGTTGTAAAATATAAAGGCATCCTCTAATGATGAAAACAATTTCACATTATTATTTTCAGTGAATTTCTGGCAACCACAGCTGCTAGTTTTTTTTCTTAATTTAACTGGATATTTTTTTACAGTGCACAATTAGTCTTGAGATTTTGATGCAGAGGATAAATCAGTGGATCAGCGCTGCTGGCCTAGAGGTTCAAATCCACCCTCACATAACTCTTTATTTTAATAAACCAAATTTGTAGCATGCCAGTGGATGTATTTCAGAAGCAGGAACACATTTGTTTGTTGAACCTTTATTAGATACATTCCTGCTGCAAGCTATTTTATAAAGCTATTTCATTTTAGCAATGACAAAACATGGTGGAAAGACGCCCAGGGCGATGATGGTCCCCAGATAAGGTTGCGGTAGTTAAATGCTTGTTACACTAATTAGTACATCAATAATCAATTCTAAAGTAATTATGAACACTAAATGTGGGTGCTTGTGCTGATTGGTCTTCAATGTATACTAGAGTTTTACATTGTAGCTAAGTTATTTGGGGTTAAATGTCTGATATTTCACCAGTGACAGAACTGCAGTATTAATATAAGCTGATTAGAGTGTGGCTTATACAAAAAAATGCTGATTGTATAAAACTAATATATTGTATAAAATACCGACTGGTCGGGTCTTACCAAGCCTGGAAGCTCACAGCACTTATCCCGACTGGCCCATGATGTACTGCAGACTATGTCAAACATCTGGAGCTGAAACTGTGGACAGGATCATAAAAACAAACACAAACAGAGAGCAAAAATACAAGGTTGTTGAATAGTAATCACTCATTTTAAAATACCGACTGGTCGGGTCTTACCAAGCCTGGAAGCTCACAGCACTTATCCCGACTGGCCCATGATGTACTGCAGACTATGTCAAACATCTGGAGCTGAAACTGTGGACAGGATCATAAAAACAAACACAAACAGAGAGAAAAATACAAGGTTGTTGAATAGTAATCACTCATTTAACAACAAATGCTTACAAATCTTATCAACACAATAATTTTATGAAGTCTAAACAAATTACAGGGGATCATTGTTGAGGATGAACAACATCTAAATAAGCAGAAACTTTATGCATTTATTAACAGTCATGCTTGAAATGCGTCTGATTATTTGTTTGGGCTGAATGACTGATTCTAATAGTTTTTAAACTATTGCACCATACAAACTCACATTACAACCCCCACCAGCATAATTACAAAGACAATTAGTCTCATCAGTTGTGCTGGCAGCCTCTGAGAAGAATCAAATCAGACGCACTCCTACACAATTAGACATAATGATCCACACATTCTGACGGAAAAACCAAAAGGCATAAAGTCTGTATTTACCATCTTGAACCGAATGCCTATGCTTTGAATTCCACAAAATCATTATAAGGTTGAATCTGAGACGATAATTGTGCTTTTAAAGGCCTCAGAGTTTCAGACCATCTTTAATAATGATCAGATTCCAAACAAAGACATTGCTGCACTTGTATACTGAGTTCTTTGTGTCTGTATGAGACAAAAGCTGGTCCTGTTATGGGCTCAAATGATTCTTTCAGGCCTGGGAAATTCTCGTCTTTTAGGATTGAGGCTGAATGACTGTGGTCTTACCGGCGCTGAGTTATCTCTCCTTCCACGCGAGTGGACCATGCGTCCCAGAATCTCCACTCCATCAATGGTGATGTTCCCTGCAGCATTGATGGATTTCTCTCCCACCGTTTTGCAGTCAATCACCACTTTAGCAGCGGTTTTGCTGATGGCCACATGAAGCTAGGTGAGATAGTATTGTGTCATCAGATCTGATAATAAACCGGCCAACCAAACGACCACCAAACGAGTAAGATGCAAAAGTAATTTGTACATTTTATGAATTAAATTATAAGGAGTTAAGGATTGGACAACTTTTCTGTGTTCTGTGCATAATTTCCACAAGCTATTTTTGCAATGATTTTCAAAAAGTGGTAAGAACCAAATTGCAATTTGGCAAAAAAGTGATTAGAACCCGCCCACACCTTTTCATTTCATTTAGTATTATTGTTTTAAGTAAAAGATATTTAAAGAAATTTTGTAATAACTTATACAAGGCATATTTGCTATATGTGAAGGGACTATGAAGGGAACAGAATAACACCTAAAATGGGCTTTACATAACACTGGACTTCTAATAACATTTCCAAAATGTCTTCCTGGAAAATCTGCAGAGGTGGGACCAAGTCATTGTTTTGCAAGTCACAAGTAAGTCTCGAGTCTTTGCATTCAAGTCTCGAGTCAAGACAGACAAGTCCCAAGTCAAGTCCCGAGTCAAGACAGGCAAGTCCAAGTCGAGTTGCAAGTCCTCAGCTTTAAGATTCAAGTCTTAAACAAGTCATTAGTGCTTTTTGCCCAAATTAGTGTCTCAGTATTAATTACCATATCAAATTCATAGTAATTTATATCAGGAAGGCAGGTAGAATATTTGACAGTTCAATTTCATGTGAAATGGGTGCCCTTAGTAAAACTACTCAAGTTCAATTTAGGGATTGTGCCAGTAAACTATTTTATTAGTAACAGAATAGCAAAGACAACATAATTTCATAGAAATAACAGCTGCAACATACTGTAGTGTCTGTGTAGGATCATGCATGAGCGTTGGACTGTTTATGGCTTAAGAGACCCCTTTTAGCCTTTTGACATTGACACAAACTAACACACACACACACATAAAGACATTTCTTTATTTTAGACTATAATTAATCAGTTATAATTGTATCTGGTATACGCATGTGTTGTGTGTACGTTCCCCTATTAGATTAGCTGAGTTACCACTCGTTATTTGTATTAGTTAAAGCCATAAAACACTGATATTCAGGTGTATGTATGTATCTTTGGTTTAATCTATTCCAAATGGTTGTTTCTTGGTATCAATGTTACCTGTTTTTCATTCCTCGGACAATGACGTACAGTATGTGATTGTGAAACGCATCATATGAT